TTAGAGCATAGGAACTTAATATTCACTGTCTATAAGCCTTCACCTGCGATCAATTCACACTTTTCAATTTTTTTTTTTTTTTTTTTTTTGAGTTGGAGTCTCACTCTGTCGCCCAGACTGGAGTGCAGTGGCCGCTCCCAGCCACCGCAGCCTCGACCCACTGGGCTCCGGCGATCCTTCCACCTCAGCCTTCCAAGTAGCTGGAATTACAGGCGTGCGCTAACATGCTCGGCTGATTTTTTGATTTATTGTAGAGATGAGGTCTTGCTGCCCAGGCGAGTCTCGAACGCGCGGGCTCAGGCAATCCACTCACCTCAGCCTCCCAAAGGCACGGGATTACAGGCTGAGCCACCGAGCCTGGCACGAAATCATAATTTAAAAACAAATCCAAATAAATCTTCTCCAGCATGTGTATATTTCTACTTAAATCTGTATGTATACATTTTGCAAACAGTTTTATTGGGTATAATTCATATACTATATCAGTGGTCACCAACCTTTTTGGCATTGGGACCAGCTTTGTGGAAGACAGTTTTTCCACGGGGTGGGGTGTGGGGGAGTGGATAGGGGAGATGTGCAGTCGAACCTCACTACTAATATTAGTCTGTATTTGCAGCTGCTCCCCAGTGCTAGCATCACTGTCTTAGCTCCACCTCAGGTCATCAGGCATTAGATTCTCAAGGGGCACGCAACCTAGATCCCTCCCATGCGCAGTTCACAATAGTGTTTATGCTCCTGTGAGAATCTAATGCCACTGTTGATCTGACAAGAAGAGGAACTCAGGCCATAATATGAGCAATGGGGAACAGCTGTAAATACAGATGAAGCTTAGCTCCCTTGCCTGCTGCTCCCCTCCTGCTGTGTGGCCCATTCCTAATAGGCCACAGACTGGTACTGGTCTGTAGCCAGAGGATTGGGGACCTCTGTGGTATGTAATTTACTCCTCTAAAATGCACAATTCTGTGGCTTTTAGCCTATTCACAAAGTTGTGCCACCATCACCAGAGTCTAATTTTAAAACATTTTATCACCCCAAAAGAAATCTTGTACCTATTAGCAGTTACTTCCCTCCCCCGCAACTGTAGGCAGCCACTATTCTACTATCTGTCTCTGAAATGTCTACAGAATCAGCCGCCAGATGCAGTGGACCTGTAATCCAGGCACTTTAGGAGGCAGAAGTGAGAGGATTGCCTGAGCAATTGAGACTGCCTGGGCAATGACACCTTGTCTCTACAGTAAATTAAAATAATTAGCTGGGCATTGTGGTGCACGACTATATTCATGGCTATTTGGAAGGCTGAGGAGGAAGGATTGCCTGAGGCCAGAAGGTTGAGGCTGCTGTAGCCTTGATGGTGACACTGCACTCCAGCCTGGGCGACAGAGACTTCAGCTCAAAATGAATGAATGGAATCATCTCCAGTCATCCCTTGTTATCCATGGGGGGTTAGATACACAAGTCCTTAATGGTCGGCCCTCCTGCCTGTGGGTTTCCGTATCTGCAGATATGGAGGACCAACTATAATATGTGGTTGTTTGACTGACTTCTTCCACTTAGCATGCTTTTTTTTTTTTTTTTTGAATCAGAGTCTCACTCTGTTGCCCAGGCTGGAGTGCAGTGGCACGCTCAGGGCCACCATAGCCTTGACCTGCTGCCTCAGCCTTCCAAGTAGCTGGAACTACAGGCATGCACCACCATACCCGGCTAATTTTTTTTTATTTATTATAGAGATAACGTCTTGCCAAGTTGCCCAGGTTGATTTCAAACTCGTGGGCTCAGGCAATCCTCTCACCTCAGCATCCCAAAGTACTAAGATGATAGGCATGAGCCACCGCGCCTGACCTTAGCATGTTTTTAAAGTTTATCCAAGTTATAGCATGTATCAATACTTCATTGCTTTTTGTTGTTGAATAATGTTCTTCTGTATGGATATACCACATTTATACATTTTAAAATTTTGTTTTTAAAATTTAATGCGTTTGAAAGACTTATGTTTCCAGGAATGCAGAATAGACAGTTTGTTTCTGTTTTTGTTTTTGACCTCATATATCCCTGGCTTAGAGCTAAAGAAGCCAGCAACCTAGAAACATTAACTAGGAGCGCAGACCAAAAAGCACAACAAAATCCTGCTCTCTCTAGCCAGAGAACCAGGACAGGGGCAACCTTTTAGACAATAACTGCTCTACTCCAATACCACAGAAAAAACTGTGGCCCATCCTCAGCCATGCCAGCAAAGGCTGACTGTGTGGCCTGGACGTCCACCCTCTGGTGGTGGTCTGTAATTTAACAAATCTTCTGCTGATGGGCGTGGGTGGACTCCAGCGTTTTGCTGTTATAAACAATAATGCTTTAGTGTTCTTCCCTCTTACTTGTTTCTTTGGATGTCTGTGTGTTACTACAGAATACATTTTAGATGTAAAATTGTTGGGCCAATAGTATACAATTCAATGAGCAATTACAAACAGCTTGAAGCAAATGAAAAAAAAGGGAAAGCTTCAACAAAGAAACAAAAGATCAAAAAAAGATCCAGATGGGAATGTTAGAATGGAAAAATACAATAACTGAAATAAAAAGCTTGGAAGATGGACTTAAAATGGACATAAATGGAGGGAACAGAGAAAAGAATCAGTGAACTGGAAGACAGAACAACAAAAATTATCTGGTCTGAGCAACAGAAAAAAAGTAGAGTGAAAATGTAATGATTCTTATGCATTTCCACGTTTTGAAGTCCTCCAACTAGCTGCCATTCTGTTTTTTGTTGTTGTTCTTGTTTTTGAGTTGGAGTCTCACTCTGTCACCTAGACTGGAATACAGTGGCCGCTCTCGGTCACCGCAGCCTCGCCTGCTGGGCTCCGGTGATCCTTCCGCCTCAGCCTTTCAAGTAGCTGGAACTACAGGTGTGCACTACCACGCCCGGCTAATTTTTGATTTATTGTAGAGATGAGGTCTCGCCAAGTTGCCCAGGTGGGTTTCGAACACGCGGGCTCAGGCAATCCACTCACCTCGGCCTCCCAAAGCACTGAGATTACAACAGGCTGAGCCTCCGAGCCCGGCCTCATTGAAGCATTTTTATCATGACTGCTTTAGAATCTTTCAGATAATCCTGATGTCTCTGTCATCTTGGTATTGGCATCTAGTGATTGCCTCTTTTCATTCAGTTTGATAAGTTCTTGGTATGACTTGTGATTTTCAGTTGAAGCCTGGGCATTTTTATATTATATTAAGAGATACTGAATCTCGTTTAATCCTTCTCTTTAAACTTTTGACACTCAAATAAGACTTCTCTGACACTGCTCTGATGAAGGGGGCGAGAAGGGGGACGGCACTGTCTTGTTAACGAGATAGACAGAAGTCTGGGTATTCCATTAGCTTGCTTCATTTTTAAAATTTAAATAAAAAAAAGTAAAAAGACTTCAGCTTCTGGGAAGATGGATTAGACGGTAGCGAGTTTCCTACTTTTTTTGCCTCATACATCCCAGACTTGGAGCTAAAGAAGCCAGCAACTGGCCGGGTGTGGTGGCTCATGCTTGTAATCCTAACACTTTGGAAGGCTGAGGCAAAAGAATTACTTGAGACTGGGAGTTCGAGACCAGCCTGGGAACATAATCAGACCCTGTCTCTATTTTTTTTTTTTTTAAAGCCAGCAACCAAGATGGGAAGGTTTCTTATTACTGCTGGGTGCTGGGGGGTGGTAGGAATTCCAGCTCCCCTTGTGATCTCACTGATACACTGGTAGAGGTGGCCTCATTACCACTGGTTGATGATCAAAGTCTTGACTCTCTGTTAGGCCTCCTCTGACCCAACCTAGGGGTGAGGGTGGGGGATGACAGAATGGGAGGGACTCCTGTTACCCCACCCCTGGCTGAGTTAAAGGCATTGGTTCTCTCTTTGGCCTTCTCTGACAAAACCCTGGCAGGGGCTTTACAGGCTCTACAGGGTTGATTGCATTAAGCTGGGGATAAAATATATAAATTGCAAAAAAGGGCATATACAATATGGTCATATGTTTTCTTTTTCTTTTTTTGTGTGAGTTGGAGTCTCACTCTGTCACTGAGGCACACTCACACAGCCACTGCACCGCAGCCTCAACCTGCTGGGCTCAGGTGATCCTTCCACCTTAGCCTTCCATGTAGCTGGAACTACAGGCATGTGCTACCATGCCTGGCTAATTTTTTGATTTATTGTAGAGATGAGGGCTCACCAAGTTGCCCAGGTTGGTCTTGAAACCGCGGGCTCAGGCAGTCCTCTTACCTCAGCTTCCCAAAGTGCTGGAATTATAGGCATGAGCCACTCTGCCTGGCCAAAATTTTTAAAAAAATAATTCACTTGAACTAGCCCTATTTTAAGTACTCCCTAGGCAAATGTTGCTAGTGGCTACCATATCGGATGATGGCAATATAGATAATCTCCATCAAACTGCAGAAATTTCTTGGACATTGCTGTACTAGACGGGTCATTTCTAAGAAGTGAAAAAGGCCAATGAAAGAGTAAACTAGCCGGGCTCGGTGGCTCAGCCTGTAATCCCGTGCCTTTGGGAGGCTGAGGTGAGTGGATTGCCTGAGCCC